TGCTCGCTTGGCCACCCCACGTGAGGCCCATGAGGGCACCCCCTCATACCCTCCAGCCCCAGCCTTCAGGAGATGACAGCCTCAGCCGACATCTTAGCTGCAGCGTCCTGAGACGTGGCGCCACACCCGTTGCAAGATCCCAACCCACAGAGATTGCGTGAGATGCTACATGTTTATTTTTAAACCACTACATTTGGGGCGACCTGTTACACAGCAACAGCTGACCGATATACCTGCTTTGAATAGTGCACTACTTTTTTTTGTTTTTTAATGGAAGGGAGAGGGAGAGACAGAAACATCAGCGATGAGAGAGAACCACTGATCGGGCTGCCTCCTGCACACCCTCCACTAGGGACAGAGCCTGCAACTGGGGCATGTGCCCTGACCAGGAATCGAACCGTGACCTCCTGACTCAACCACTGAGCCCCACCAGCCGGGCTGCCTTAGCTTCTTCTTATTGCCCTTCGCAAACTCTGTGACAAAATGGGGTGTCTGCCTTCCACAGTTTAACCTGAGACCCCACCCCGGCTTCTGCTCACACAGCTGCAGTCCACTCTGCCCTTTCTCTGCCAGAGCCCAAGGCAAGTGGCCACACACAAAATTATGTTTCTTGGCCCTGTAAGAGGGTGCCTGCATTCCCAGCCCTCTCTCCCTGGCGGGCAGCAACCCTGCTGCTTTTCACAGCCAGATGTTACACAGGCACCATTCTCCCTTCAGGTGCTCTGGGTTGGGGAACTCGGCCTGGGGTTTCGACCCCAGAGTTCTCAGCAGTAACAAGCCCTGACCCCCGACAGCAGAGATATCCCCCCAGAACGTTGTCTGCTGTCTGTGGGAGCCTGGTCAGCCCTTGTGCGCCTGTGCACGTCCTACCAGCCTCTAGGCCAGTGGTTCTCAACCTTCCTAATGCCGTGACCCTTTAATACAGTTCCTCACGTTGTGCTGACTCCCAACCATAAAATCATTTTCATGGCTACTTCATCACTGTAATTTTGCTACTGTTATGAATCGTAATGTAAATGTCTGATATGCAGGATGTATTTTCATTGTTACAAATTGAACATAATTAAAGCACAGTGATGAATCACAAAAACAACATGTAATTATGTGTTTTCCGATAGTCTTAGGCGACCCCTGTGAAAGGGTCGTTTGACCCCCAAAGGGGTCGCGACCCACAGGTTGAGAAACACTGCTCTAGGCGGTCTCCACTTCCCGTCCTCGTTATCAGGGGTCTGTCCGGCTTGTCTTCGGTTGCTTATCGGGGTGGTTTGTCTATATTTTGGCTCTAATTCCAGTTTGGTCCTGGGAGCATGTCCATGTAGCTTCCACGTACTCCGCCGCCGTTTTGGAATTCCTCAGAGCACGCATCCTGACAGGTTTATTGTGGCCGAACAGGCGTAAAATAAACGCGTACATTCACGGCATATAATCCAGTGAGTTTCAACGTAGGCGTCGGCTCAAGAAAACACCAGCGCTGCTGAGGTGGGGAGCGCACCCTGGCCCCAGAAGTCCCTGTGCGCAGGCACCATCTCCCCGTCTCCAATCTGCAGCCACTGGTGTGGTTTCCGCCACTACAGAGCGGGTTTCATTTCCGGGAACTTTAGATCACACCCTTTTGGGGTCTGGCTTCTCTCATTCAGTAGAATTCTTTGGCCGTGAGGATAGTGGCCTACGGACTCCTCTTCTTGTACCGTCTTCGGTTTTGGTATTGGGGTCATGCTGGCCCCACAGAATGAGTGGGAAACGGCCCCTCCTCTCTCTCCTCAGGTTTTGGAAGAGTCTGTGTGGAGTTGCTGTCCTTTCTCCCCGAAGTCCCCGAGGCACGCCTGGATGGAGGGGTTGAGGCGAGGAGGGCAGGAACTGGCCTGTCTGGTACCCCCCATGCCGATCTTTTATAAATAAGCTTCATTGAGCTACGATTCACATGCCACAGAATTCATCCACTTAAAACCACGATTCCAACTGTCACTGCAATCCATTTTAGGATATCTTCATCACCCCCCAAAAATAAGTATCGAACCCATCCAGCTACTTCCTGTCTTCATGGACTTGCTGATTCAGGGCGTTTCATCTAAACGCGATCCTGCAGGACCCCGCTGACTGGTGTCACTTTTTCACACGATGTTTTCACTGTCCATCCGTATCGCAGCACATCAGTCCATTCTTTTTCACGGCCAAGTAATATTCCACCGTGGCCCTAACCAGTGTGGCTCAGTGGATAGAGCGTCGGCCTGCGGACTGAAGGGTCCCAGGTTCGATTCCGGTCAAGGGCATGTACCTTGGTTGCAGGTACATCCCCAGTGGGGGGTGTGCAGGAGGCAGCTGATTGATGTTTCTCTCTCATCAATGTTTCTGGCTCTCTATCCCTCTCCCTTCCTCTCTGTAAAAAATCAATAAAATATATATTAAAAAAATAATATTCCACCGTGTAGCCATTCCTCAGCTGGTTGATCCGCTCCCCAACCGGAGTGCATGTGGACTGTCTCCACTTTTCGGCTACTCCGATTGCCGCTGGCCTGCCATCACTCATCCAGATGTGTACAGGTTTTGAGCAGATGTTTTCATTTCTCCTGGGTGTTTCCCCAGGAGTGCTGCCTCACATGGCGCAGTGAATCCCCACTTAGGTTCCGTGACTTTAAGCGAAACGTGTAAGAAAACCAATTTTACCAGAGACCAACGGATACACACACGAGTTCAGTCCTGTAGCATCTCATCCGTGTCGAACAAAACGGCGTTAGTCCAGGACCCGCTGCAGTCCCACGTCTCACCTTTTGGGGGAACCGCCAGACTGCTTCCCACCGCAGCTGCCCCATTTTATATTCCCGCCGCCACTGAGGCGGGTCCCGGCTCCTGGTACCTCCTATACCAGACGCCGAGTGGACGGATGGACAGTTGGACCTTCATCCATCCATCTGCCTCGCCCTGAGGAGGACCCGGCACAGGAGCGTGCAGGTGCCCGGCAGGGGTTTTGCATGAGGCCGACCTGCTTGTGGGACCCCCATTGAGTTACCTCCCCCCCTGTCAGTTCTGAGGGGGCTGGCAGCACATGGTCTCACCCCAAGTCCCCACTCAGACAGATGTGTGGAGACCTCCCCAGCTCCCCGGTCTGCACATCTGAGAGCGGAGGCCGGTGAGCTCCTAGCAATTCTTGGGCACACTCCAGCCTCAGCACCTCCACTTCTGGGAGGACCCCACAGGCGTCCTGGGGCTCTCTGGTGTGGGGTGACAGCCACAGACGCTGGACTGCTCAGAGGCTGAGCACCGCCCACAAAGACAATGGACAGAGTGGCCGCAGGTGCTCAGGGATTGCAATCGGGACTCTACAGCCACGGCACTGGGGTTCTACTCCGCCCCCGCCCCTAACTGGCTGTGTGACTTTGGGCAAGTCGCCTGACCTCTCTGAGCCTCGTAGCTTCCCCTGTGAAAGAGAGAGGACAATAGTACCCAGGCCCGACCCCACAGGTTGGCGTGGGTCAGACAGGCTGTGCTAACAGTGGGGTTCATGGGGGGCTGTTAGCCAAGCCCTGTCAGCTCAGCCTCCACAAGGAGTGGAGACTAAGGTCAGCGCAGGCGGTCGACCAGGTCGACATGCCCAACCCCCAACCAAAGCCCTGGACTCCAAGCTCGGGGAGCTTCCCTGATGGGCAACACTCGGTGGTGTCCGCAGGAGAGGGCACGGAGAGCTGTGTGCATGGGGCTCCCCTGGACCCTGCCCCGGCACCGCCTCCCTGAGCTAACCCTTCCATGTGGTCAACCATGACCATGAGCAGTGATGGCGAACCTATGACACGCGTGTCAGAGGTGACACGCGAACTCATTTTTTTGGTTGATTTTTCTTTGTTAAATGGCATTTAAATATATAAAATAAATATCAAAAATATAAATCTTTGTTTTACTATGGTTGCAAAGATCAAAAAATTTCTATATGTGACACGGCACCAGAGTTAAGTTAGGGTTTTTCAAAATGCCGACACACCGAGCTCACAAGGTTCGCCATCACTGACTGTGAGCATGGCGGCTTTACAACTTGAGTCCTTCTGCTGGAGAGACTATCAGAGTAAGGGTGACCCTCGGATCCTCACTGAGTGTCCCAGCGGACTGCACCCTTTAAACCGTACCCCCGGGCCCTAGCCGGTTTGGCTCAATGGACAGAGCATTGGCCTGGGGACCAACGGGTCCCGGGTTCGATTCCAGTCAAGGACATATACCTCGGCTGCAGACTCCTCCCTGGCCCAGGCCCTGGTCAGGGCGCATACAGGAGGCAACCAATCGATGTCCTTCTCTCACATTGGTATTTCTCCCTGTCTTTTCCTCTCTCTTCCACTCTCTCTAAAAATCAATGGGAAAATATCCTCAAGTGAGGAATAAAAAAAATTAATAAACAAAGGAAGAAAGAAAGAGTACCACCGGCCTGAGGCTCCCACCGACAGCGCCCCCACTCTCCATCACACCCTTGGTCCCCAGGCTGTGGAAACTGGTTTGCTCACTTATATACGGAATCCATGCCTGGTTCCATTTTATTCCATATAATTTATTGTCTTCTGTGTACTACACCGCCCTTATTCATTGTGTTTTGTCTTATTTCCCCTCTAGGTGACTCGATGGCCTGGCCCTCCTGCTTCACGGGCTGGGGGGACGGGATCTCCATGGGGGCCTGCGAGCCCCGGAGGGGGGGGACAACAGCACCTGTGGGGAGGGACATCCAGCACGGTGAGCGCACAGCCCAGCTTTTCCAGGACCCTCCGCCACCTCCCGCCCTGAGGGGGCGACAGCAGGGGTGCAGGTACACACCCCAGCATTCCCACTTAAAAGCAGAGTGACTGCCCTAACCGGTTTGGCTCAGTGGATAGAGCGTCGGCCTGTGGACTGAAGGGTCCCAGGTTCGAGTCCGGTCAAGGACATGTACCTTGGTTGCAGGCACATCCCCAGTGGGGGGTGTGCAGGAGGCAGCTGATCGATGTTTCTCTCTCATCGATGTTTCTAACTATCTCTCTCCCTTCCTCTCTGTAAAAAATCAATAAAATATATTTAAAAAAATATATATCCCCTGGTGAGGATTAAAACAAAACAAAAACATACTATTATCCCTATCCGGTTTGGCTCAGTGGATAGAGAGTCAGCCTGCAGAATGAAGGGTCCCAGGTTCTATTCTGGCCAAGGGCACATGCCCAGGTTGCACTTCTGATCCCCAGTAGGGGGCGTGGTGCAGGAGGCAGCCAATCAATGATTTCTCTCTCATCACTGATGTTTCTATCTCTCTCTCCCTCTCCCTTCCTCTCTAAAATCAATAAAGAAATATATATATATATTTTTAAAAACCATACTGCTCTTAATGTCACCCCAATAAATTCAATAAACCCTAGCCCAAGCCCTAACCCTAGCCCCTCACCCTAAAAATAAATAAATTCAATAAAAACTTGAAAAAAAAAATGTTGAACTTCCTTCCACTAGGTGCCAGTAGTACCGCCCCAGTTCTGACAACCAAACCTGTCTACACACATTGCCACACGTCCCCGGGGGACAAATATTTACTCAGAGCACCAGGGCTCCCCGCAAGTCTCTGCCCCGCCCCTGACCAGCGAGCTGTCCTTGGACAAGGGGCACCAGCACCTTCGACAGCCCTCGCCTCCGTTCCTGGGTCTAACATCACACACACTAAACAGTGGCAGTAAAAATCCAAGCTTCTGTCCCGATCCTCCACGGTTGTGGGTTCGATCCTCGGTCAGGGACATATGAGACTCAACCAATGGCCCTGGCTGGTTGGGCTCAGTGGACAGAGCGTCGGCCTATGGACCAAAGGGTCCCGGGTTCGATTCCGATCAAGGGCACGTACCTTGGTTGCAGGCTCTTCCCCGGCCAGGCACGTGCAGGAGGCAGCCAATGGATGTGTTTCTCTCACATCGATGTGTCTCTCTGTCTCTCCCTCTCTCTTCCACTTCCCTAAGAATCAATGGAAAAATGAC